TAATGCAAATGGGAGAGAATGAGATTTGCAGCCCCTCTTCTCCTTCCATACACATACATCCCCTTGATCATATGTCTTAAGAATGCATCAACAAGAAATCATCAGTTATTTTGGGAGCTAAAGGAGGAAACTTAGCAGAATCTTATCACTTCTGAGGTTCTCTTATCCACAAAATGAGGGCAAGATCAATTGAGTTCTCAGGGCACTTCCTGCTCAACCATTGTAGAAAGAAAAACTCAGCAATAACTAATGACATCAATGAAAATAGCAGTCACTTTCCAAACATACTCCTAAGCTTTTGTAACTCATTAGTTGGCAAGTAACTGGAAAGATGGCAATAAGATCTTATAAACTTTGACACAGCAGATAAATCTCAAGAAACATTATTAAAAAGTATCTGTTCTTGGTAAGTCTATGTAAATTATTTTGGCATATAGAGGATTTAAAAGATTTTTTAATAAAAGCTAAGGATTTTATAAAAACATAAAATTATTACTATATATTCCTCATAAATATAGTCACAGCCTAACACTAAAAGCACAAGCAACAAAAGAAAAAACAGGTAACTTGGATTTCAACATTAAAAATTTTTGTATTTCAGGCCTCCCCAGTGGCGCAGCGGTTGAGCGCTGGGTTGTGAAGCTGCCTGCAGCCTCTGCACGCTGGTTCGATCCCCGCCTGTTCCCCGGCCACTGGGCGAGGGTCCCACATGGCACGCAGACCTCTCCTGCCGCCCGCTGCTCCCCTCAACAGTGTACTTCGGTTTCTTTTGCCTGCTCTACTCCCCTCTCTGGCTCGGTGAATTCTCTCACCCTCCCGTAAATAAATTTTGGTATTTCAAAAACTACCAAGAATGTGAAAAGACAAATCACAGAGTGGGAGAAAATATTTTAAAACATACATCTGTTAAGGGACTAGTATCCTGAATATAAAAAATAAGAATTCTTACCACTCATTAGTAAAAAGACAAACCACCCAATCAAAAATAGACAAGAGACTTGACTAGACAATTGTACAAGAAAGATACAAATGGCCAATAAACACATAAAAAGATGCTTGGTATCATAAGTCTCAGGAAAATGAAAATCAAAACCACAAAAAGATATGCTTTAAGTACACTACAAAGGCAAGAACCAAAAAGTCAGATAGTTACAAATGTTGACAGCTATGGAGAGAAACTGGAACTCTCATGTATTATTGGTGGGAATTCAATACTGGAAGAGATAATCACCTCCAAGAAATTTCCAAAAAGAATGAAAGTCATCAATCCACAGACTCAGGAAGTTTAACATCTGCAAACATTATCAGTCAAACTGCTGAAAGAGAAAAGCTTAAAAATTCAAATCTTAAAAATGACACTCTCTTCACAGCAACTATAGACTAAAAACTGGTTTTTCATCAGTAAATACCCTAAGCTGCCATCCTATAATTCTACAACCAGTATAAGGGTTGTTAAAGAGAGTATAGGAATGTTTTCTTACCATATAGAAAATATCAATGAAGAGCTAGAAATGTACATGGGAGGCTAGAAATACAGATATGTCTATCAATATAGATAGACAGACATACATATATGTGACCAACTAGAAATTCTGGAGTTGAAAAGTACAACTGAAATAAAATAATTCACTAGAGGGATTTAAAGGGTAGATGTGAGCTGAGAGAAGCATTTGAAGATAGGTTGAGATGATACAATCTAAGAACCAAGAAAGAAAAATGGGCCCCATCATCAAAAGTACCAACATATACTTAATGGGGTGTCTAAAAGGAGAGGAGAAAGAAAAGGACAGCTTTTTAAGAAATAATGGCTAACAACTCTCCAAATCTGATGCATAATATAACACATCCAAGAATCTCAAACTTTAAGTAGAATTAACTCAAAGAAATTTTAGGGACTCAGTAAATAAATAGCAGCAGTATCTACAATTATCACCATGATCACCCAGGAGAGTGAAAATAGCACGAAATGAGGAGAGTGAAAATAGCACGAAATGACTATTCAGGTAAAATGGTCAAGTTTCTTAAGGGTAGTGAGTTTTGAAAAACTTATCTTAAAGTCTGAACAGAGGCATTTCAAAAAATAATAATAAAGAACTCTTCCCTGGTGGCACAGTGGTTGAGCGCTGGGCTGCGAAGCTGCCCGCAGCCTCTGCAGCGCAGGTTTGATCCCCGCCCTCCGGGCAAGGGTCCCACATGGCACGACAGACCGCTCCTGCCGCGCCTGCTGCTCCCCTCAGCAGTGTATTTCTTCATCAGTCTGCCTGTTCTGTTCCCCGCTCTGGCTCTGGTGAATTCTCTCACCCTCCCACAATAAATAAATAAATGAATAAATGTTTTTTTTTTAAATTGATGACAAACTATTTTTTTTTAAAAGATTTATTTATTTATACAAGCACTGGGTACAGTCAGAAGCACGGGAGGGTGAGAGAATTCAACAGGCAAGCGGATGAAGTACACTGCTGAAGGGAGCAGCGGGCGGCAGGAGAGGTCTGCGTGCCATGTGGGACCCTCGCCCAGCGGCCGGGGATCAAACTGGTGCTGCAGAAGCTGCGGGCAGCTTCGCAACCCAGCACTCAACTGCTGCGCCACCGGGGAGGCCCTAAATAAATCTTTTTCTAAAAAAAAATTTGGTGAATATTAACCTACACATCCAACTGTCTCAACAAATTCCAAGTAGGATTAACTCCACAATATAGAGGTGTACCAACTAGACAGTGGTGAACTAACAGAGTGGGTAACCCAAAAAGGACAGCAATGATAGTGAAGAACCAATTAAAAACTATTCTGGATCTTACCTATTTTCCCCCAACATTTTTAAATTCTCTAAAACAACCATTATCTTTAATTTCCTGTACATTCTCCACAATTTTTATCCCCCCAGTTTCATTAGCATTTGTTTATCTAACTTGACCTAAGATGATAGGGAGACAGATGATGGAAATGGACAAACAAGAAGGCTAAGAATAGGCTATGTGGATAATATTGTACCTTTTTTCTTTCCTTAAAACACTTAAAACACCTATAGTTTTAAATGTCCATTTCCCAATTCAAGTGATGCATATGCAGAAAATGGAACTTCATGTAGCCTATAGCCTAATTTTAGTAATTCTTGTATTTTAATTGTTTATATTTTTTCCAAGGGCAGCTGTTAAAATTTACCTAGAATGGGCCGTTTTATAAAAAGCTTTTTATTTTTATTTTTTTTATAGAGGCATGTTTTTTATTTATTTATTTATTTTATTTGGTTTTGTTTATACAAGCACTGGGTCCAGTCAGAAGCGTGGGAGGGTGAGAGAATTCACCAGAACCAGAGCGGGGAGCAGAGCAGGCAGAAGGAACGAAGTACGCTGCTGAGGGGAGCAGCGGGCGGCAGGGGAGGTCTGCGCGCCATGCGGGACCCTCCTCCAGTGGCCGGGGAGCAGCCGGGGATCGAACCAGCGCCGCAGAGGCCACGGGCAGCTTCCCAACCCAGAGCTCAACCGCTGCGCCACTGGGGAGGCCCTATAAAAAGCTTTTTGAAGATATAATCCACATACTATTTTAAACACATAATTTAATGGTTTATTCACAGATTTATGAAATTGTTACCACAAAAAATATTTGGATTTTTTTTTCACCAGCTCAACAGGAAATTCTTTGCTATCACCTCCTTAAACCTCCCACTCTTCCAATCCCAGCCTTAAGCAAAGTCGTTATTTTGTCTGTACATTTCCTCATTCTGGACTTTTTATTTGAATATAATTCTGATACGTGGATTTGTGTGAATAACTTCTTTCACTTAACATGTTTTTAACATTTATACAAGTTTAGTGTGTATCAGCATTTCACTCTTTTTCATTGCAAAATAATACTCTTTATGATATGGCTATACCATATTTTGCTTCTTCATTCATTCACTGATGGATATTTGGGTTGTTTTCAGCATTGGGTTATTATGAATAACATTGCTTTGAACATTTGTGTACAAATTTTGGTGTGGACATGTTTTTATTTCTCTTGAACATATACCTAGGAATGGGATTTTCCCATGGTTAGATCTTTATAGAAAACAAATTATTAGCATAGTATCAAAGAAGTAATATTAAGAAAAAAGAGCAGATTTTAAGTAAATAGAAATATCAGCAACTAGATATAAAAACTAATGCCATTATTCAATAGGATGAGATAATTTCAATAGGTCAAGATAACAGTACCTATATCCAAGTTCTCTTCAATTTTGCTACTTTGTAGATCTCATGCTGTCAGTATCTTTCTGAATGATCATTTAGAGAGAAAGTGAGCAGTAATGCATAGTTGTGCTTAAAGAAATACACAGACTAACAAATAGACATGAGTTTAAGGGGCCATTTGAGACAGGCTGGGGAATTTAAAGCTCAGTATGGAATCACAATTGTGCTGGCATTTTGGACTAATGCCATGTTGAAAATGAGTCAGAAGAGACTGAAGATCCTCTTCTTATTCCAGTGAAAACTATTTGATTGGCATCAGCAGTCTTGTTATCTATGAACACCAATACCAGAACTAGACTTTATCCCCAGCTTGACAGGCTTGGTTGGCAGGCTTCAGAAGCACCGACCATGATACATTCATATGTGCTCACATGTCTGACTTATAAATTGTGACCTCTAACAGGACATGAATGTACCCCAGTTATCTTGGCATCCCATAATCTGCAAGATTTATAGTAAACATTGGGAAACAGTTGCATTAATGTGTCACTACCTCTGTTGTCTCTTTTCTAAAGAGTAGTTCAGGGTGGGGGGAGGAAGCAAATATTGTTTTAAAATGAACAATGATGTAAAATATTAATTAAAAAAATATATAAAGAGCAGTTCAAATATGGTAGAACAAAGATTACACTGGAAGCATATTGATTAAAGTCAAAAGGTGACAGGCTAACTATTACCTCACAAATATTCCATATTTTGATTCAATATTAAAATGAAAAAATATTTTATTTTTTTAAAAAGATTTATTTATTTATACAAACATTGGGTACAGTCAGAAGCGCGGGAGGGTGAGAGAATTCACCAGAGTCAGAGCAGGCAGACTGAGGAAGCACACAGCTGAGGGGAGCAGCGAGCAATGAGAGGTCTGCGTGCCATGTGGGACCCTTGCCCTGCGGCTGGGGATTGAACCGGCGCTGCAGAGGCTGCGGGCAGCTTCACAACCCAGCACTCAACCACTGTGCCACTGGGGAGGCCCAAAAAAATATTTTAAAGTAAAACACATAATTGAAAAGTCAGGTAGCACATGTTAAAGACATTGTTTGTCATCTTCCCAACAACTATTCATGAAGTCCACCCTACTTTTTGTATCCTTCTCTGAACCCAGGGGCTTCAGGGGAGCATGTTATCATGATTGAGTCAATCAGTGCTGACTGTTTGTTTTGCTAGTGACTATTTTAGATATGGGCACATAATGAATTTCTAGCCAATGACACTTGCTACAATCTTCTGAGAAAGTGTGTATGATCCTTAATAGAGAATCAGTTGCAAAGAAAACAGTCCTTGTTTCACTGGATGTTGTCAAGTATGGATGTCATTAGCTTCCTGTAGTCATCCTGTGATGTTGAAGCTGACAAGCAAAAGACTGGAAGAAAGCAACTGACTCCTTGCTAACAACCAACCCTGAAAATGCTCTACTTTTGAACCTATGTGAGATATGTTCCTTACTTGGTTCTATTGGACTGTCTGTTATTTGTGACCAGCAGTATCCTGATAGTCTACTACAAGGAATACACATAACAATTTAAGAACAAATATAATAGTCTCCTATTCCTTCTTTTTCTCTTCTCCAGAGGAAATCACTTTCACATTTTTAATTGTTGTGGCAGATGATTTACTTACATGCTTCTAAATAATATGCTTGTACTGCTATTTTCTTATCAATAGAATGCTGACTTTCTACAATGAAAAATCAAAACTAAGCATAGGCACACCCTTCTACTTTCCTTCTTCCTATATAGTTTACAATGTTTAACTAGATCTATCCTGTGCTTACATTATTATGATTATATAAATGTTATTCACTACTGAGTCAGTTAGTGTATTGACTGCATTTCTTTTCTTATACCATTGTTTTACCCTCTGGAGTTAAAAAATGTTCATTGACATTACATTCATTAGCTTTACATCCCATTTTATCAACTATTAAGATTGCGTGGGCCTACCTGGTGGCGCAAGGGGTTAAGCACTACACTATGAAGCAATCCGCAACCTCTGCAGTACAAGTTCGATCCCCGGCTGGCCAGGAAGCAACCCACATGGTGAGGCAGACCTCTCCTGTCTTGCCCGCTGCTCCCCTCAGCAGTGTACTTCAGTCAATCTGCCTGGTTCTGTTCCCCACTCTGTCTCTGGTGAATCCTCTCACCCCCCGCATCTCTAGCCTGTACCCCAGCTCTTGCATGCATAAAAAAATCTTTAAAAAAAAAAAGATTGCTACCCTGACTTTTAGTTAAATATTTCTCTGATATATGTACATACATATATTTGGTAATAGCTTTATTCAGATATAAAATACAACGCAATTCATCTACTCAAAGTATGCAATTTAATTGTTTTTAATATAGTAAGTTTTGCAACCATAGTAACAATTTTTAAATACTTCACCCTACATCATCCTAAAAAGAAATCTCATACCCTTTAGCTATCATCCGTCAACCCTCCCAATTTCCGCATGCACTCCAGCCCTAGCAACCATTAATAAATGTTCTTTGAAATCATAGAATACATGGTGAGCTATTTTTACTTAGCATGTCTTCAAGATTCAACCAGGTGGTAGCATGTATTAGTACTTCATTACTTTTATGGCTAAATAATATTCCACTGTATGGGTGCATCATATTTGAATTGTTTCCACCTTTTGGCTATTATGAATAATGCTGTTATGAGTATTCATGTACAGTATTTGGTGTGTACATAAGTTTTAATTCTCTTGAGCATATACCTAGAAGTAGAATTGTTGGTTAAATTGCAACTATTTAATCATTTGAGGATTTTCTAGACTGCAGTTATTTTATTTTTATTTTCTCTCTCTGCTTCATTCAGTTCTACTTTCAGAGACATTTCCTTACAAGCATCTTGCAACTCTAAATATTTTTTGAATTTGTGTTTTTTGATAACTCCCATTTCATACCTGTTTATAAATACATTGCTTCCAAAAGACTTTACCAGCTTTTCCCACTTACAACACAGCATTGTCTCATATCTTAATATCTCAAAAATATAACTTTTCATTTTACACAGTGCTTCATTGAAAGATCAAAATGTACCAAAAGTTATTTAAGCAGCATGGGGCATTACTGCCATTTGTATTTTCAATGTTTAGCCTAAAAGAAGGGAGAGAATGAATTGGGTCTGTAATCTCGGTAAGAAATGATGGAAGTCTTACCTAATGGAGTAATGGTGGAAAAAGGCAAAGTGGCAGCTGACATATTAGGAGTTGGAATGGTATAGGTCATGTGGACTGACTAGGTAGGAGAAAAGGAAGAAAAGTCCAGAATTATCCTCAGGTTTATGGTTTAGACAACAGCAAAGATAGCTGAATTTCTCCAAAAAAGAAATATATTTTGATTACATTCAATATTAACTTACCATATTATTCAATATCTATTAAGTTAAATCATAGCATACATGTAACCTGCATGGTTGTATAAAAAAATTAAAATTTCCCCCAGTTAATCTCAGAGAAAGCATTATTAACAGTTAAAGAAAAATATAAAAAAGTCCTAAAGTAGTACTTATTTTTCTTAAGACAATAGTTGTAATTCAAAAGACAATATTTTCAAATGTTTTTATCTACAAAGATACTTTTATTTTCAATTACACATATTAAAGGATATTTAAAAATATGAAACCTTTGGAGAGATCAGCTTTTTATTAAGATTCTTTAGAGAAATATTTAAAAAAAAGGATGAAACAAAAATTCAAGCTTAAAATTACAGACGAAAGAACTATGGAAGAAAATGTTATCACAAGATATTACTAAAAGAGTATTTTAAAATAAAATAGGCATTCTTTTATTTATTTTTTATTCACTGACACTAAAAATAAATTTTATAATTTTCCATTTTAATATCATCTAAATATATTAATGTATAAATGCAAATATTTACTAAATATACTTTTTTTGACTAGATGCAAATCACTATTTCCTTAAAAAGTTTGATTCTACTTAACCTCATTAGAATATTTATATTTAAATACTTCAATGCAATCTATGTGTATTAAGCAAAGAGCTCCTCAAATGAGGAAAAGTCTGATTTGGTTCTATAAATAAAGGTGATTTAAAATAGAAAATTTGAACTTAAAAGCAGCTCAAATCACCTGTTTTTTCATGTCACACCAACCATCTATATCTAAAAGGTTCTGATCAAAGCTATTTCTTTAAATCCAACATTTACTAACTCAACAGATGGGTTTTTTAAATGAGGGATGTAATTTTACTTGCAATTTACTGCTTATATATTCAACTGGGGCTTTAAAAAAATAATTTTAGAATACACAAAGACCGAAATTAAACCATTCTCAACATTTTTCCAAGACTATTTGCTAACTGACTTGTTTTTTCTACATGAGCTTTAAACATGTCTACCACAGGTAGCATACAAAAGTAATTACATGCAACTATAAAACCTACCAAGTAAACTCCAAATGGAACTACTGCTTTTTTTTTCTCTTATAAGAATCATTACTGTGAACTCGAACTCGGTGATATACAGACGATGCAATTTTCATGCTTTCTTTCTTTGTAGATGTTTTCTCTCTTGTTTCAGGTTTCCAAAGTAATAATTGTGCATCTTCCCCTCCAGTTAGCAAAGAATCATCCTGCATATTCCAACAGAAAGAACGGACTGTAGCAGCATGCCCCCCCTGAAGGCTGGTGACATGGTTCAGCCCTGATGTAGTACAGCTCATTAAGTGAATCTTCCCTGTGTTTGTTCCTCCAACAACAAACAATTGGTCCATCTTTTCATGATATAGGCCACCAATCAAATAATCCAAAATACCTTCTTTCATATCAATTTCTTCTCTAACATTCTGAATGTTCAAACACGTAACAGGTTCATCAGTATCTAGATGATTAAGATCCCACCAACAAAATCCTTCATCATGTGTCATGCAGTAAATCTGTTTATAATCTTTCCCAGACCAACCAATATAGCTTACTGATGAAACTGAGTTACAAGTTGTAACTAGTGCATCGTCTTCATTCTCAGCACTAACATCAAATACATTTACCAGGCCATCAGTAGAACCTGACACTACCATATTAGGGTTGCTGGGATGGAAACATACTTGCGTGATATCATCACTATGTGTCTCTGAATATGCACCAAGTGGGTCTCTAGTAGTAGACAAATTCTGAGAATTAATTCTTGCATCCCAAAATATCAACAATGCGTCATCACCAACTTTTTCTGTACCAGCACAAATGACATGATCATTAGAGTTTATATCAAAACTGATAAAAATATTGGATGGGTAACCCTTGAACAGCTGGACAGGTTTTTCACTGGCTAATCGAGCATCCCAACATTTTACAGTGCCATCAGTACATGATGAATATACACTGTCACAAGAATTTGCAAATCTGACCCCATTAAGAAGTCCAGGACGTCCACTAAATTCTCGTAGAATATTTAACCTTTCTTTATCATATATTCGGATTGATCCATTAGAACATAAAACAGCAACCAAGCTTCCTTTCCCTGCTTTTACAGTCTTTGATGTGTCTATGCCAAGCAGATAAGTAGGTTCTTTAGTTCCCGAAGAACGTTTAACAATGTTCAGATTAGCAAATTGTTCCTCAATCTTCTCCATATCAGGAGTGGCATCCAGGGGTAGTAAAAATCTGAAATGAAAGTACAATAATTAAAATTAAAAGAAAAAAATAGATGGTCATGTCTTAATCCTTGGAAACTATGATAAAGGGGATTGCAGTTGCAGGTAGAATTCAAGTTGCTAAACATCTGACCTTAAAAGAGGGAGATTATTCTGGGTTATCTAGGTGGGCCCAATATAATCACAAGTGTTTAAAAATGGAAGAGGTAGTCAGAGCACAAGATTCAAAACACAAGATTCCATTACTATGGAAGAAGGCACAGAGAAATACAAGAAGGCACAGAGAAAGACAGCTTAGGTGAAGGAGGTCACTAGGTGACTAGCAGGTGGAAAAGTCAAGAAACATCCTTCCTTAGACCCTCCAGATGAAAATGAAGCCCTCTCAACACCTTGATTTTAGCTCATTAAGACCCATTTTAGAGTTCCTATCTTCAGGAATATAAAATGATAAATGTGTTTTTTCTAACTTTTATAGATACATCTTCATGAAAGGAGAGGAGCACTCAAGTGGTGTCATTTTCCTTGTGATTGCCTTAAACAGAAGTGGAACAAGAGGTGGGGAGGAGACACATAGAGAAGAGATATGTAGAGACACTTGGAAAAGATACTTGAGAGAGAATTATGGAGGGGCTGTTTCTGGTCCTTGGCAGAGACAATGGCAACCATTATCTGGACTTCATGTTGGATTATGTGATATATTTTGAATTTTGCGCCTCTCCTGCCCCAGCAATCTGGAACCTGCCAAACCCCTTTCTTGTGGGTACTTACCAGAAGGTACCTAACACTTGTGACAAGTCTCTGGGCCTCGGTAGCCCAGCTTTGGCCTAAACCTGTTTGGCTGGGCATTTGCCCATGAGGGGATGAGTAATTTTTGCAGTTTTATTGGGAAACTATTATTTGAAATCCTTTCTCTCCTCTCTCTCTCCTCTCTTCCCCTCTCCACTTCTCCCCTCTCTCTTCTCTCTCTCTGCCCCCCTATCCCGCACCCTCTCCCCAACCCTCTCTCTCCACACCAATTCTATTTAAAAAATCTTTCACACTAAGGATCTACTTATTTTGCCTTTGTGAATGCAGACAGTCAGATACTTTTTAGAGAGTTCACCCTTCAACAGTTTGGAGTCCCTGAATACCCTAACAAAGGCACAAAGTTGATTGCACACTAACAAAGGCACAAAGTTTGTAGTAAATAAAACAGAGGTTTCAAGTATGGAATTCTAGAGTAGTACTTCTCAGTGTGAACCTAAGCATTCTGGCTTCAAGCACTGTACTCTTAAACCACCACACTAAATACCTTCTCCATGCTAGATAGTCTGGAGACCAACATCAAGGTCAGAAAAATATGCGTGCCTACTAACTTTATCACAAATTCTTCTATCATGCATATTCTAGGCTGCTTCACAAATTCATTTTTATTCTTAAGGTGAAATGGTTTTTTCCTCTTGCTTTAGCAGTAGCTTTTTAAAGTGTCTATCTTGTCTTTAAAAGAAGAAATGAGTACTAACTCAAGAGTTGTTAGAAGGATTAACAGAAATAATGAGTTCAGCACAATGTTATGTAGCAATTACCAGCAATACAATCTCAACAGATGCCACTAAGACCATGGTGAAGAATTGGGATCTATCAGAATATCTCCAAACAGCACAATTAAAGCAGTGGGTAAAAAAATATTAAAGGCCTCCCCGGTGGCGTAGCAGTTGACCGCTGGGCCAGTTCGATCCCCGGCTGCTCCCCGGCCACCAGAGGAGGGTCCCACATGGTGCACAGACCTCTCCTGCTGCCCGCTGCTCCCCTCAGCAGTGTACTTCAGTCAATCTGCCTGTTCTGTTCCCCGCTCTGTCTCTGGTGAATCCTCTCACCGCCCCCCGCCATACCTCTGGCCTGTACCCCTGCTCTTGTATGCATAAATAAATAAATCTTTTTAAAAAAAAGTAGAAAAAGTTCATGAGACACCAAATACATAGAATTCAGATTTAACAGATGTTACGTTTTGCCATTTTTTCTTGTTTTTTATTTAAAGAAATAAAATATGATAAACTTTATATTATAAAGAAATAATATTTTATCCTATGCTTAAAAATATATGAAAATGGCATCACATTTATATGTATCTCTTTTTGCAATTTGCTCCTACCTGTCAGTATTTTTGAAAAACCCTATTCCACTTTCTAAACATCTCTTTTTTGCTCATTTGTTATTAATAAATGGTGTTGACTAAATGAACTTTCATGCATTAAGAGCTGAAGAGTTCTAGGAGAAACAATAATAAAAGGATACTATGTGTGTCTCTGTGTTTGCAGGGGAACTCTGTTCATGGCAATTAGTAAAATAATGGCATTCTTTAACATTATTTTTAATAAAATGTCAAAAGGAGATATAAGGAAAGATATATTTGTAGAGAAAAATACAATTTACAGAGGGGGCGGAGCAACATGGCGGCGAGGAGACGCTGCGAGTAAGATCTCCCATTAAAAAAAGTTAATAGGGAGGAAAAGCGGCAGGTCCCAGTGAGAACTGGGACACGGAAGATAAACGGGTGACTCCAGCAAACTACCCGAAGAAGAAAGTGGCCATAAAAGAGGACTAGAAGGGAGGGAAGCGCAGAACCCTGCTCCCCTCCCCCGCCCACAGAGGTGGCACTCTCCGACCCGCAGAGAGGAGGAAAACAACAAACTAAAACGGCCAACAAGAACAAACGACGCAGCAAGCGGGACTGGGAGTGGAAAGGAACTATTGCAGCCACCACACCCCGTGAACGGGAGCTGTGGAGAACCCTGCAGGATTCGCCGCGGCGGTGAGCGAACGGCTCCGGGCGCCATTAGAGAAGAACAAAGACCCCGGGAGACGCGCACACAGCCCGTGCTGCCTGTAAGCTTGCGCGGAAAAGCGGAGCGCTTGGCACGCTTGAAAAGCAAATGCAGACCGGGATCACCGCTGCCCAGGTCCCCGCGCCTGCGACCTAGGCTTGCGGGGAGACGCGCGGAGGCCCTCACGGGGGTGAAAGTCCCTCCCTGAGTGAGCAGGAACCAGGCGCCCAGGCACGGGAGTGGGGTGCAAAAGGCGCCATTCCCGCGCCACTGAACTGGGCTACAGCCCGCGTCCTGGACCTGAGGGCTTTGAACTGAGACCCGGGGCACGAAAACTAGGGGTGTGGGTTCTCCACGACGGTGGGGCACAAGGCAGATACAGCACCCCAAAGCTGTTGAGGCTTACCCTACCATTCCCGCTCTATTCCCTGTCCCACGGGGTAGGGGGAGGCGAAAAACAGCCCGCCAAGGACAATAGGAGAGATCTCTGGCGCCACCTAGCGACCAGGAAAAAAAAAGTCACTAACACCCCATAGAACAGGAAATTTCTTAAGACTGCTTGAGAAGGGCAGAAGGCTTCTGGAGGACCCAGTGGCCAGCCGGGAAGTTAGCCCACGCCAGGCCCCTTCCGACCAGCAGTCTGAGCCCACAGAGGGAGCAGGCACCCACGTCCGGGGCAGACTGGGTACACAGAAGAGTGTGCCTGAGACCGGAGGCGCAGGGACTGTATCCCGCTTCGCCATTTGAGAACAGGGACATTTCTTCAGTAAAAACTGCCTAAAACCATCAGAAAGCTCCCCCAGAAGCCAGAGATGGCTCCTGCAGGAGCCAGAGGGGAGCAGAGAAGTTCACCCAAGATGCCAGCCAGTCCGAGCAACACAGTGTCCCAACGCATACGACAAATTAGAAAACAGACAGTAGGGAGTAGAAGAACCACACGCAACCTAACAATGCCTCAGGAAAGAAGCACACCACAAAAAGAAAACCACTCCCCAGATTGCAACGACAGCAACTTGGAAGAACTTCTGAGCCTTTCAGAAAGAGAATTTAAAATTGCCATGATTAAAAAAGTGATAGATCAGAAGAAGGAAATTGAGTCCCTAAAGAGGGAAAACAATGGTCAGAAGAATGAAATTGAGTCCCTAAAGAGGGAAGTAAAAGAAATGCAGGAGATCAAAGAATTAATGGAGGAACTAAAGAACTCTGGGAAAAGCAATGAAAGCAGAATAGATGAAATGGAAGAACGAATAAGTACTCTTGAAGACACAGAAATAAAAAGAACCAAAACAGAAAAGGAAAGAGAAGTACGAAGGAAAAAGAATGAAGAAAGACTCCAGGAACGATCTGACTCCATGAGGAAAGGAAATATAAGAGTTATAGGAATTCCAGAAGGAGAGGAGAGAGATGTAGGAACAGAGAAAATATTCCAGGAGATAATTGAAGAGAACTTCCCAAATGCGAAGAAGGAGCTGAAAATTGATATACAAGAAGCAAGAAGAACACCAAACTTCCACGACGAAAGGAAAAACACAGCAAGACACATAATAGTAAAGCTCCCAAGAATCCAGGACAAGGAAAAAATAATGAAGCTGACAAGAGGGAAGAAACAGATAACATTCAAAGGAAAACCAATCAGGCTGACATCAGACTTCTCTGAAGAAACACTACGGGCAAGTAGAGAGTGGAGGGACATAGTCAACAGACTCCAAGAAAACAGATGCCAACCAAGAATACTCTATCCCGCAAAGCTCTCTTTCCTCCATGAAGAAAGAATATGGACCTTCCCAGACAAAGAGAAACTCCGAAATTTCATTGCGACTAAACCCCCACTCCAAAAAATACTACAAGGAATCCTAAAGCCAGAACCTCAGAGGGACGAATAACAACAAAAAAAGACCAAAAAAAAAAAAAAAGTTATTAAAAGAATAAATAAATAAAATCAAAGGAAAGACAAACACAATGGCAAATACAGATGCTAACATATCAATATTAACTCTAAATGTAAATGGACTAAACTCTTCAATAAAAAGACACAGAGTTGCAGCCTGGATTAAGAAACAAAACCCAACCTTTTGCTGTCTCCAGGAAACACATTTAGCTACAAAAGATAAAAATAGGCTCAAAGTCAAAGGATGGAAAACAATCCTACAAGCAAATGGGCCAAAAAAGAAAGCAGGAACAGCTATACTTATATCAGATAAAACAG